CTTTCATTCGCTTTGAGTCAGAGGAAACGGCTTAGTTGTGACGTCACGCGACACCTTGCACAGCGAGACTGCTAACAATCATCGCAGTGACAATTGTTCGGAAAAGTGGATCAAGCCTTTTTGTGGAAGAAAAAAAATGATAAAGGATCGAGCTCGGGAAAGAAAGCTGAAAAGAGGATGAAAGCCTGTGAACCTCTGACATTAGACATTAGGGAAGCCAAAAGAAAAATTTCAAGGTCATGTATTGTCGGGGTTAGAGTGAAAAGGGAATGGATTAGAGTGTTGGAGTTGAGCATGTTAAAGGCCCGTGAAAGCTGGAGTGGTAGTTTATTTAAAATAGAAAGCTGATCAATGAAGCGGTGCCCACAAAAGAGAGGTGGTTTTATGTAGCGGTAGGGGTATGGGTTGGCCCTTTCCTGTCCAGCCCCTCAATCCATCTCTCTCTCTCTCTCTCTCTCTCTCTCTCTCTCTCTCTCTCTCTCACTCTCTTTCTGTTTCTCCCTTTGTTCTTTGTTTGGGGGTTGGAGGGGTTGACGCCCTTGCCCGAACCCCCTCTCCACTTGCGTTAATCGCTTCGCTCGTTCTCTAGTATTCTACTCCAAACCGCTCAGTTTCCAATTGGTACATTATTTATTGATCTCCCTATATAGTCAGTAGTCAAATCCCACGTTGGAGTGTAATCATTGTTATAAAAACCATGACAAACCGCCGTTAGCATTTTTTTTGTCAGCTGTAACCTTTATTTCAATGTTATAGTGACATGTAAAGAAACATAAGCAGGTACAGTAACAGAAGTAGACTGAGAAATAAAAGGGAGTGTTTTAAGCAGGGTGAGTGGCATCCAATTGCTTTTGTTTACACCTGTTCACTTTTTATCCAAATCCTTTTTGTATTATTCTGAATTGACTCACTGCTTGCAACAGCGACATTGATAGCTAGCGGATGTGAACAGTCCCGATAAATGACAGTCGTGACGGTGACGTCATAAAAGACAATAGTGTGAGTTAGACGAATGCGCTGCCCCTTCTAAATTAAGTACATCCCGCCCCTTCCATTTTGTCTCCAAGCCTGCCCCCCGTCATACCGTTCGGGCTCCTGCGCATTTATTGTGATGCCAACATTATACTCCTAAGAAACAACAGATGACAGGCTTGGTGTAGCCTATGAAAATGTTTAATGTCCATTATAGCCTATTCATTTCATTTTTATTTTTTCATTTCCAACAAAATACAATACATAATAACAAATACAATGTAAAAATATTCAAAAAGAAAGGAATGGCAATGCCCCCACCCCAGCCCCCCCCCCCAACAAAATAAAAAAAGACACGAAAGAGAAGAACCTGGATGTTGATCATGTTGATGGAGCTAAATTTGGGCATGTATGGTTTTGGGTGAATGAAAAACCTTTTATTCCAGAAGCAGAAGACGAAGAAGAAGGAAGGAGAAGAGCAAAAATAAGTAAAAAAAAAAAAAAAAAAAGCAAAAGAAGAAGGCGAAGAAATTTGAAAAACCTATTACCCAAGTTCAAATTGTAGGTACATTCTTTTTATGCCCCCCCCCCCTCATTCCAAACAGACAGAAAACGTTCAAGTCAACGCATACGCTCCGATCCACGGTATAATTGCATCGAAACATGCATCGTCAATGTACAGTGGAACACTATCACTTGATCACGGTCATCAACATTGCATTTTCTACACTTTATTCCTGCAATTTAACAATGGATTGTTTATTTAGCCTACCATCCTATCTACCATAAAATTATTTTGTAAATAGCCAGCCTAGTAACTTGTCATAATATTCAGTCATCCATCAATTTACTATTGATGAATAATCCGGCAGACAAACTATATCCCACTTCTGTTTAACAGTTATTGTTATTTGTATGCTCAAACGTGGGCTTGCGTGAAATAGTTGACTGACACTGAAAATATTTGATTATCAGCGGTATTATGTGGAGGTTTATGATATGTTGTTGCAATGACACAAGCCATATACCAACAGACTATCGACTCCGTGTATTTACTGTTTTTAATGATATGTTCATTTTATTATCAAAGTGAAGCCTTAAATGTTGTGGTGGTGTAAAAGAAGAGAGGTTCTAGAAGGGGCTTGGGGTCCCAACAATTCTTTAAGCCCCCACCCCCTCTGAAAAAAATCGCGAGGCACATGGACCCTGTTTTGGAAGAATTTACTCTGTTTGTTTTTAAGTAGGCAAGCAGTAGGTCAAAAGGCTTTGCTCATAGTTATCATTATCTTGGTAATACCCAGCCTATGTAGACGCTCATCTTCTTTCGTTTCTGTTTCGTTTTTCTTTGAAATCCGTATGTTAAATACTGTCTTTATGCCATGATTAATTAGTTGTAGACAAGGTTCTTGTTAATTCTTCTGAAGAGCACTTTCAAGCTATGTTCTTATAGTGTCAATGCCCACTTCAAGCAAGTCGGATTCTAGCTCCAAATTGATTCTCTGACGCTGACAGGAGAGAAAACAGGATTAAGGTATATATTTTGGGGGATCGATAATAATAATAATAATAATAATCCGTTTTTTTATATAGCGCTCAATACACCGATCCAACGATGTGCCTAAGCGCTTTACAGATATATTATTACCCCGGTCATCGGATTCAGGCTTACCCGCACACAATGTGTGCACATTTTCCACTCCCTGGGGAGCATTCCAGCCAGTCGCCATTTTACAGGCGCACACTTGCTCGTCCAACCACATGAACGTTCGCATCCTACCCGGTATCCATTTAACACCTGGGTGGAGAGTAGCAAGTGCAGTTAAATATCTTGCCATCGGGAGGGGGAGGGGGTACAACAATACGAGGCAACTTTTTTGTACATAGTTAGAGTATGCTAAGTTGGGTTTTTGTCGTGTCCTGAATGCCCCCCCCCCCCCACTCCTCACACCTGGGGCATGTCATGGATACAGACACTAAGTTATTCCTGCATAGATTTTCTCATTTACACACTTGCTGATAGTAGCGTTTTGTATTTTGAGCGACTCTAGTTTTAGTTGTGCAGCATAATTGTTATCATATCTATATATGCATTTATATCCCTCCCTTACATCAAGTGTAATGCCATTTGTCGCATAATACCCTCATTTTAATAAGAAATCACATTATCTAAATGTTTTGATGTCATTGTTTTGAATTTAATTTTTTAATGAGCGTGTTGATACATAGGCTAACCTTATATAAATGCTTCGAGCAATTGCTTAGGGCTCTATTAGATTATTACACGATTGCAACTATATCTTATTTGTATTGCCCCGATATCTAATGTGTCTCTTTAAGATTATCTTTAGTGAAACTCTTCGGAATATTTACTTAAATGCTTTGCACGAGTGTTGCAGAACATTTTTTCACCCACATAGCATATCATTTTACAGTAGATCCACAGTGACTGTGGCCATAATCGTGTTTTTGTAAGTTTTTTCTTTTGGGGACTAAATTTTTCTATATTGCCGCCTTTACCAAACTTTGCAAAAGTGAAAGTATGAATATTGAAACCTGAGTAAAAGAAGGTCTGACAATATTAGAGAAAGACAAACTGGAAGAAGGGTATCTCGTGTGATCCTGTTCGAGCAGGTTGACTGGGATAGTGAAAGTCGTGGGTTCGAATGTCTCGGCCTGTCTGGAAGGGCGCCCCAAACCCTCCAAAAAGGGGACAGTAAAAATTCTACAAGAAGACAAAGAAGGAGGGGAAGAAGAAGAAGAAGAAAACGAGGAAAGGGAGGGGAAGAAGAAGACGGAGAAGAAGGAGAAGTAAAAGAGGAAGAAGAAGAAAAAGAAGAAGACGAAGAAGACGATGAAGGGAGAGGGGAAGACGAAGAAGAAGAAGAAGAAGAAGAAGAATAAGAAGAAGAAAAAGAAGAAGAACTGTAATCGTTTCTAGTAAGTATTTAATTCACTTTTGGTAAGCCTATCCAGAGGAGTCGGCATCCCGAGGCAACCCAAAAATTGTAATGAATCATGGAATCGAGGATACTCTCTTGGTTTTGAACCCGTGACCTCCCGTTCCACGACCAATGAGTCATCGCACCTTCTCATGACTGGGGCTATGCCTAACACTCTAACATAACATAACATTTTTATGTCGTTTTTTCTTTTCGCGCACCACGGGGGAGGGCTCATGCATTGTCTCGTGAGACGAAAGAAGAGCAAATAATATCACCAAAAATATAATAAAAATGGAGGGATTGAGATACATAATGAGGCTTCTGGGTTTCCCCGGAGTCCATAGTGCACCAGGGAGGGCAAACATTCAATTTCGGAAATCGAAAATCGAGTTATCGAGGCCTCACACCCCGCGGGGTAATATGATCATTTATAACATCATTTAGGATAAGATAAGTGCGCACACAAACTGGGTTCATGGGTATTGCTAGAACATTTCGAATGGGGGAGGGGCTGTCGGACCATGTCTGATGACAAAACAGCTAAAGGAGATCACACGAAGACAAGGGCTTCACACCGGGGCGGATCAAGGGCCCAATAAAAGGGAGGGGGTGCGAATTTGTCCAAAAAATACGGGTTCGGTTTACTAGACGGAGGACAAACCTGAGAAAGGCTCTGACTAGCAAAGAAATAAAACCCGGATTTCCCAGGTCCCTTTCTACCCCTAAAAGTTTTAGACAGCCCTTCCGAGAATCCGACAGGGGTCGCCCTCCCCCTCTTCCACTCCCGCCCGCCCTCTGGGGGTCATGGTCCAACACTCTTGTGAGAAACATCTCGCACATTCGTCATCTATTCGAACACGAAGTGTAATTTGATTTACTTAGCTGTTAAGAAGAAGACAGCACTTAACTTCGGCCGTGAAGAAAATCTGACTGCATTGTCGCAATTGTTTACTTTCGATTTTGGATTTGAGGGGAAACGAAACTTTGCCCTTTGATGTACAGGGTTCCAACATAGACGTAATGGTACCAAGCACGTCCATGCACCCTTACAATCTTTCATTGCATATAAACTCTACTCTATTTTCGCCCGTTGTGGAAAAACGACCTGAATTGTTAATCTCCACCCGCCTTAAATCCCAGGAGAAGATTTGTATTCACGATATTTCTCGATCGCTCCCCTTCCCTCTTCACAATTCAACAATTTTTCTCTTTTGTTAGTGTGAATCGCATATTGAGAATTGTTTTGGAGGATCATTTTACACTTGAATGTATGGACATAAAGGAGGACTCAGCGAAGCGCGCTGGAAGTTCTCTTTTATTAGAGACCTGTATGTGCTACGCAGACGGCACGGGCGCGAAATTGTTGGAAGGGTGTAATTTCTGCTCTCTGCGCGTTTGTGAGCGCTCACACTTATCCAGACAGTGCGAAGGTACGTCGCACGCTTTGGCAGAAACGCACCGTCGTATGTGACCGTGCATGTGCAAATTGGGCAGACGACAAATCTTTTAATTAACACGCAGTTGCGGATCTGCACGGACTACCACGTACATGTGAGCTGCTACCGATTTTTGGATTTACTCTCCAGACAACTCATTTACATTGGATAATTTCATAATCGCCCTTAATCCGCTGAGGGATTGATTGTTGGTGGATAATTACTGCTTGTTTGTACACACTGTCATCACGCCATGCAACGACAGGTAAAGTTAAGCCTCGAATATTATCGATTTCATATTTTGATATCAATTTATGTGCACCGGTTACCTTTTTCTTTTCATCGGCCCCTCGCTGTTTTACGTACAGCAGGAAGTTTTAATTTGCGATTTCAGGTGTCTGATCTGCATCTAATGACGTCATCCCTAAGTGTTCTATTAAAAAGGGGTCTTGTGGACTCTAGCTCTATCCCCCTTCCTCAACTGTTAAATACCTGAACAGAGTTTTCACCTCCGGTTGAAAAGTAAGCCAATTAGCTATTTATAGCTCGCTATACATGTGTTCTATAGGCTTATCCGTCTTGTTCTCATGATAATGTGTCATGTTTTTATCGGTGCAATCAGGTAATAGGTTAACGTGGATTTTGTATCAATAAAGAATGCAATGAAACATTTTTAAGCCTACACAATTGAAAAGTAATAGAAGATTTGTGTATTTTTTCTTCTCTTTGAAGGGCAGTTTCACGGTAATTCTATAGTGAGGCCCATGGCCCGTAGTCCTTGCCGATCGCAGAACAAGCAAATAGCTTGGCCCTAAGCTGTCAATTTCTTTTGTAGTGTAAGGATGGTTTTGTGTTAATGCTGACACGAATGTGCTGGCTGTTGCATCCAACACACCCCAAGTATTTGACTACCTCTCGGGATTCATCGCTTTTAACACTTATAGATATAAACACGTTTGTTTTACCTCAGACTTACATGTTTGCTTAAAAGAACGGACAAATCACTTTAACTGTATATAAACTAAACATTCAGGAACTAGAATAATTAAAACTATCAAACTTTGGTTAAGAGCTTAGATACTCTCAATCTCTAAATTCTTTAATCAAAAGTAAAAGAAAATGGCGTTTATGCAATTTTACCTTGAAGTAGTAAAAACAAATAATCTAGCAATCATTCAGGCAAATCAATTAATTGTACAGTCGTAGATCTATTGTTTATGGATATAGAACAGATCCATTTATTCAATGTATGTACTATGTAGGGGGCACATTAAAGGGATCGTTTAACAATGTTAATCTGAGATGCACGGCCCTGCGTGTTATCAGTGTCTGTGGTATGGTGTTATATTGAAGCCCTACAATAGAAATGCGCTTCAAAATGATCAAGAAGTGCCTTAGAAAAGTAAAAACCTTTGAGTGACCGGTTTTACCATACTCGTTTTCCCCGGTAGACTGTAGTGATATGAAAACCGTTTGGCAAACGCAAAATTTGATTTCAATTTTCAATCATAAATATCTTGATAATCAGACAGGCAATCGGCTTGTAAAAGTCATGGGGTTCCTGACTGACCTAAAGGTTTATAATTATCATTGCAGCATGAGCTAAATCAAGGATTTTTTTAAAGTTACCGGATCCCTTTAACGACGTTCGACTTGTTTATTTTACAACTACCCATGTGAAGTTTTAGTCGAGTTTTCTCCTCGGGAAGGGGTAGGAGGGGGGGGGGGGCTTGCATGCAAAAGAGATTGCATCGTCTTCCCTAAAGAGGGGCTAGCCTATATCTGGATATCATGACTGTGAAACAAGGGTAAGGAAAATAATTTTTGAAGGGTGGTTCTTTTATTGCGAGTAAAGTTTTCTGTTTAATATCCAGATCATGTGCCCCGTTCCCCCTTCATATATATCAACCTTTCTTATGACAGTCTCTTATTCTATTTTAGGTTCCCATTTCTCTTCTACAGATGACCTTATCCATCAGTCAACAGGGCTCTAACAGCTTTTAGAAAATAGCATTTCTTTCATTCCCTCGTTTCACCTATATTGTATCGTCACCAAAGGCCCCCTTTTTTGTCCATCTTCGAGGAAAACTTCTATGATCAGCCATTATGCCATTATCGTTGACCTAACCACGCCACTAGCTAGTCGACTGACCGCATGAACCTCTATTAAAAATGCATTATTCCACAATAATGTGGCCATGAAAAGGGGAGCATTTCAATAACGCCACTCCATATTTATAGAGAGAATGTAATGAAGCGTTTTTAAGGAAGCTTGGGAATAGATGTACGTGTGACTGAATTCGTAATTAGACGTTAGTACATGTTCGATGTTCGAGATTGGCACTCGTAGAATCAGAATCATCAATAGAAATAGTTTAAAGGTAATACAAAGTTTTGGGAAATTTTGAAAATTGGGTGGATAGTGATTCTTTAAAATTTTGATATATTTGGATGCCCCTGTGGATGTATTATAAGCACTAGAAAATTTAGCCCCTAAAACACTTCAGCTTTCGAGAAAAATATAATATACAAATTTACCGGTGCTCCCGGTAAATTTTGATAAATTTCAAATAGCGCCTTAGGCTGTACAATGGTAGCTGCGACCACGAAAATCTCAGAATATGTGGTTGTGATATATAATTTCCAAACGGGAATAGCTAATCAGTCGATTTTAGTCAAGAAACATTGTTTTATAGCTTAATTAATATCTTGACCTTGAGAGGGAGCTATACAACATAAAGAGCTTATTATTAACAACTTCATAACTTTAGACTCGATTTCAGCCGCGACAACGATCACTGAATATTGTAGGATCACATATGCTTCCACTATGTTCATTTGAACCAAATTCATGACCCCATACCAAAACTTTGCATTACCTTTAAGACAGCGCATGAGTCAGAAATCGTATATTATTTAAAGAAAAACATTACAAAATTTTCAACAGAGATGTCGATGGAAGATGTAATGCAATGCGTCTTGAACGTCGTTTGTGTATTGTTTTCATTTTTATTTTGCTTTTTAGTCATAAAAATGAAAAATTTCTTGACCTTGCCATAAAATAGGTTTGGTTATCACTACCATGAAGCATCAGTGAACGGTATGAAGGGGATTTTGTCATTTTGTGTGTGTGAAATTGTTGCAGTTCATTTGTCGTACGGGACATATTGATTGGATAGTATAGCCTGAGTAATATGTGTCTACATTTAGGTATATATGAATTTAAAAAAAAGGTTACACTGTGTAATGTTAGTTATGAGAAGGGAAATACATGTATGTTCTCAGGACAGGTGTTCGTTGTTGCACACACAATTTGTTAACTGTCTCGAATTTCCACCGATGTGCCAACGATCATTTTCAAATCAATAAATCTACATTTCGCCTTGATTGAACCTCACGGTCGCAATTATGACACCGATGTCCAGGTAATGAAAGATATCCCCAACAAAATAATGACTCGTTAGGATTACCCAAATGTTCATGGTTGTAGTCATTTGGAAAAGGGTTGTTCCGATATTTTGTAGGTTACTAAATTTCACGAAGTTTTGTTTTGTGAAACAAAACATCAAACAAAATGCTGCCTTGACCATATGCATTTCAAATTGTATTCCGTGAGTTTTAGGAAACGACAGTTCTTGATTTAGGAACCCTACTGTCACATGTTTAGGGATACTGATGAGTGATGACTAATAACAAACAATGAAATAGCCACTGTCATTACCGTTATGGAATGCAAATATTTGTTGTACACTGTTTTCATTCACTGAGCGGTTATTGTATCAAATGACTATTACACTGTCGAACATAAGGATCAATTGAAAACCATCCAGCGCAACAAGGGGGCTGGCAAATTATTAAAAATGAATGCAATGTTTGTTTACATTCGCTTGCAAAATAAAAAACCGTTGAATTCATAAATAGATTAATAGAGTAATTTGACAAATATTCAGATAAAAAGGTTTTTGTCCTATGAGCTGTTCACGTTAATCCATGTGGCTTGGCTATACATTTCTGGAGTGAGAACCTAAATTTAGATACATATCCAATATAAAAAAACTCCCCCTTCGTATAGCTCATGATCATTTCGTAATATTAGTATATTATCTATATTTATATCCACCCCAAATAGAGCACTTAGAATAATATTAAGGCTGGTGTAGGCCTACTTCATGACGTGTGTTTACAATTCTTTATAAGAATATTCTACTGCTATAGGTGCATGTGGGTTTCTTTGCTATTACAACTGGAGGCGGATGTATTAACATTATCGACGCATATTGACTCGCGGTTTCCAATTTCAACAACTTACTTGGGAAAATGGTTTGAGGTTGAAACTGCTCTGCCACTCGGTGATCTGCAATGCATTTCATTTCAGGGGAAGTTTCTTTTTCTTTGATCATCTTTCTTTAGATTGCTGGCTCAAACAACGAACATACTGTGTGAAAAACAGTACATAAATTAAAATTTCAAATAATTTCTTCAATTTGTATTACAAGAGCTCTGTTCTTGTTTTGAAAGAAGAAAGGATCATTTCTTGGTTCATACCGAATTATAATAACACAGAATAAATTTGACAGTTTTGCTGAGAATGTATTTTCATTACTAAAGCCCAAATTTATGAACGAAAAACTTAAAGGTATGATGTTTTTTCTTCTTTCTGTTTTGGTTTTTTGTTGTTGCTATATACTGGTTAAAACAGCCCAGTACTGTATGCTGAACAATACAGCATGAATTTGTACAGGTTATTTAAAATATTTTTTAAATATTCATTTTCATCACTATGCCCTTATTTTACCTTTAAATAAGGAAATGATAATGATGCTGTCTTCTCATTATGCTCTTTCCACAAGACTCACTCTTCTGATCATGCAATACGTCAGAATGACATCATCCTAAACCTTATAGGATAAATATAGCTTTGAGGTATCATTTTTATCTTATTACTACAGATATGACAACGGGATTACTTTTCACCCATTTGCTAATGACTTCACTCAGTAACATGGTCTGAATTTATAATGAGTTTCGTGTTGCTGGAAAGTTGCAATTGCACTTTACTTGACTACTACTGAATTATAGAGGGAGACGCCATACGTCGGCAACCATGGCAACACATTCCACGCTCGAGTAGTCGCATTATACTATTACAATGATTAATAGTCGTAATGATAGAAGTGCTAAGTATGACAAGGACGTGTAATGATCATACTGACTTGCAATACGGCCTTGATAATGGCTGCGAGGTAGATGATGATTATGAGCGAG